CACCAGCGATAGGCACGGGCCACCGGCACCATCCAAAGTCCTCAGAGGCGCCCTCACCGTGCCATCCACGCTCGACCTCGCCGCGGCCAAAAGGAATGCCAACACTTGCTCGGTAAGGGAGGGTCGCCGCGCTGACGCTGCTCGAGCGCGTGGGCGATAGCGGGGTGGCCGGCCAGCCTGCCGGCGTTCTCTTCTGGACGAGCAGGTTGTGGGCGCGGGCGCTCGTGGAGATGCCCTTCCCTTGTGTTGGGAGAGCTGGGTGAAGGAGCGGCAGGCGGATATACGAGTTTGAGCATGAGTTTTATTCCTTACAAATAGTGTTACAGTCTGCTAATACGAACTCTGAAGCAGCGCCTGGAACTCGGTGCCTCGTCAATAGAAACATATACAAGTATTCTTTTTAAACAAAACTTGAATCTATTCATCAAATATTATGTCAATACAAAGAACTCCGTAAGTAACAACCTAGCAATCTATTCAACTTTGTCGACCACCTAGCAATATATAAGTATTCTTTTTAAACAAAACTTCAATCTATTCATGTTTGTCGACCACCTAGCAATGACTATAAGCACTGGAATGAGCTGAAGGCTTGTCGCCGTCATCGCCCCTCCTTTAAAGAAGTCGAGCGAATCTTGTCATAGTAGAACCGAGAAGTTGCCGTGCTAAGGCCCCAATGAAGACCCGATCCACATGGATCCAATGAAGACAAACACCGGCTGAATCCCGTGTGATCCATCGGAGACCACCTCCACACGATCACCGATGACGCAAGACTCGTCGCCGAAATGGGGGCTAAGTGGGGAGCACCTTATTCCATCTTCAGGGAGTCGCCGCCGTCTCGCCTTTCTGAGCATGATACAAACACTAAACAGACTAAAAACACCCTAAAACAAAGCAGGAGCCCACCCACGGGTAATTGAGATCCACCACGCCTCTATGGCCCTAAGGCAATAGAAGACAAGGCAGATCGACGACGACAGGGGAGGTGGGGAAACCCTAGACTCGTGGGAGTCTCTCATGGGATTAATACTCCTAGTTTGACAAGGCTATGACTGTACCATGTTCAGTTGCAGGGCATGATCTTTGTGTGTGGTAGGACACATCTTTGAGCATGTTTGTGATGTTGCCTGGCAAACTTATTTTTTTCTTTTCGTCGGTTGAACTTGATGTTTGGACATGATGATTGCTTTATATATAAAGCATGGCTGTTTTGAGATGTATATAATCTCCTTTTTTGCTTTTCGTGGAATAAAAACAGCGTGGCAAGGCGTACGTTCGCTTGCAATAGAATCGAGCTCAGGTGGGTGAAAATGAACAACCTCACATTCATCCACAGCACAGATGGTCGTTCCTCCAACCGAGAGGCTGATTTACACAGAACATATACGAGTATTTTTCTTTCTGATAAAGAAGAACATATATGAGGTACAGACAGGTTTGATACGATCTGTAACAGAGAACCAACACGCGACGCACAGCGGCAAAGTTCACTAGCTTACACATCCTTTTCAAAACAAAAGACTGAACTGCACATTTCTTGATTAATTCGACTCGAGCAGCACACACAATCATTACTATGACATGTTTCCTGCATCGAAGTGAAAATCAACATGGCAGCTCAACTTAGCAGGATCCTACAAGCGGCTGCGCGTCAGAGAATTAGAGAATCCTCTGCATGCAAACTGTAAGGCTCACCGTTTCTCTGCCTCGCGAGCCCTCCCGGGCGCGTTTGCCCTGTTTCTTGGGGGGTCACGGTTCCGGTGCGGAGGCTGGCTTCTGGAACTGGCAAGAGTAACGGAGGATGCAAGAGCAACTCCGGTTCCTGCTGCAGCGGCGGATGAGGAGGTGAGATAGCTCCACAGTCGCATCCCCTGCGACATGAGCAGCTCCAGCCGAGATGCCATTGATTCTCACTCTCGCTACCTAGGTAGGCAAAGGGCTGCTTGATGGTTGCTCAGCGGTGTGCCAAGAGGAGGTTGGTGTGTGTGTGATGACTGTCTCCAAACAAGCCGCTTATCCAGATGCCACTTATATATCCTCGCTCTCCCAGTGAAGTGAACTACCAACACGTGCGCTCATCGAGTCAAAACGACGAGTGAAGAAGACATCAACAAGGACATGAAAACTGAGGAACGTGGCCGTTCAAACCACCACGCGAGGACGACGACTGTACTAGTAGTTCAGTGTTCAGACCACACCAGTCAAAGAATAGAATGAATACTGCACTTCAGACAAAGAATGTGGCGCTGGTCGGAGAAGTAGCATGCATGTGGCAAGAGTTTTGTTTATTGGTGAGCGCAGTTGGGGTGGTGACCATGCAGATTGGGACGGATATCAAACATTTTCAGAGTTGCGTCCATAAGATTTCTATAAAATCTCAAAACAGCAATGATATGCCGATGACGGCGGCGGAGCAGATAGAGACGGCGTCATCGGAGTGGCAATACAGCAAGCAATGACCAGTCAACCAAGGAGGGGGAGTAGGAAGAGGCGACCTTGTGGTTAAGTTCACAAGACCGAGGGTCGCTGGTGAGGTGGGAGTGGTGACCACGGTATGAAAGAGTGGGTACGCACACTTGATCTTGTCCCAGAAAACGGGGACCTCGCGAACCAACCTGTGGTTGGATGGTTAGAGGGACTGTGGTATTCCCAGCACAACAGGGTTCAAATCCTGGTGCTCGCATTTATTCCTGGATTTATTTCAGGATTTCCGGCGATGCGCATTCAGTGGGAGGAGGCGTTCCCATCGACGATGAGGTGCCTACGATGACTTCGTAAATTTCAAGATGATATGCCGGCTCAGTCTTTTGGAGGTGCTCATAGGGGTAGGGTGTGCGTGTGTGCATTCATATGGGTGAGTGTATGCGTGTGTATATGAACGCTTGTGTCTGTAGAAAAGAAAAAGGGGACCTCCTCCCTACTTTGATAAAAATCTTAAACCCAACATTAAGCAAACAAACCGGTTTGAATTGCGCAATGCGAACCACCAGAAAAACATCTAGACCGGGTAGCTTATTCTTCTTCATTGCGCGATAGCCTCGAACACCTCCTTTTTCGCAAAAGGGATGTTGAGCACCGCACTCTCTTCTGTACAAAGTTGTGGGATATCCCCCGACGTATCATCATCCAAGGATACAAAATTCTCTAATGGCACCCAAAGAGCATTTTATAGAAATTCGAGATGTGCAATTTAAGGTTCTCATGACCTACTATCGTACCCTCATCTTGTTCAAATTGGACACATTTTCTTTTTCCTGTGTTTTTCATTCGTAATTAGGTGAAAAAACTGAATATCACTGTCCTTTGAACAACCTGTTGTACCTTAGCTCTTAGAGCTCATTTGATCTCCCCTTCTCTGCAAGCTTCTTCTCAGCCTCTGTTTTAGTCAACTTGTCGTGGATATCAAGAGGATTCATCTCCGCTTTCATGTCTAGCTCATTGATGGGATTGATAAACCCTTTCTTTTTTCAATTCCTAAATCTCACTCGCACATTTAGTCAAACCCCGCAAGAATTGTCTTAAATGCCGAATCTTATATTGACATCTTTCCACATTGGACCGAGATAGCTAGAAAACTCCCTTTTTATCCTCAGTGAGACGAACCAAGAAAGTATACCAACGGGTACAAGTTCTTTAATCTTCTCTGTCACCAGGCTAATCGTACCCCTCCGTCTGCTTCATCTAATACACATTGTTCTCTCTTGTCTTATGCGAAAACATTGTTCTCATTATTAACTCCTCACTGTAATTTGTGCATAATTAGAATAGTAGATCAGAGATCCAATAGACATTCACAAGCTAATCTTACAGTCAAAATGAACAGCAATGTATGGAATTTCCCTAAAAATAATATATGAAATTGGAATTATTCAACTCATGACAAAACATCCACCACAAAAACAGCATAGATAATCATACTCATATGTTGGAGCTCACATAATGAATACATATAAAACACACAAAAGGAAATTATAAAGTATAAACCCACAGCCCATGAGGTGGGACCACTCGAACCTCATCGGGAACAACATGGTGATGATATTGCTAAAGTTTGGCAATGAATTCCTCCTTGGGCAGAGGATGCCGGAGAATAAAAGAAATCTAATGATGTTTTGCAAGCCTTCAGGATTCCTCGTGAAAGGATTAATTGCCGCCGTCAGGATCATCATTTTTGTGTCGTGGGAAACTGGTGGAACTGCCGAGCTTCATGTTGCCGGCCAGATCGGGCTCAAGTGCACCATCAAGGCGTTCTATGTGGTTAGGACTTGGGAGGTGCTCAAGATCTGAACCTGCAACACCACGGATTATTATCACACCGCCGTTACGGGGGACATCATTAGCTAAAAGATGTGCATGATGTATGCGTGCATGCGGAGAGTAGATAACGTTTTGGTAGTCTATTCTAGCCTTCAAAAACTTCTTATATTTGTGAACGGAGGGAGTAGTAGCTGAGTGCATACCTGGAAGAGGGGGTGGAGGCTGCTGAATGGGGGGAGTGTGCCCGGCTTGAGCTTCTGGAGGATCACCGTCACCGGTAGGATCAGGAATCTGGTGCGGAGGGAGGCTCCTGGAACTGCTAAGAGAAGGGGTAAGATAGCTCCACAGCCACTTCATGAGTAGCTTCAGCTTGGTTGCCACTGCCATTGATCCTCACCAAGTCACTAGCCAGCTAGGCAAAGAACTGCTTAATTAGTTGATCACTAGTGTACGTACGTGATTCTGTCAAGAGGAGCTTGATGTGTGATGACTGCCTTCAAACTGCAGGTTCTTGTGCGGCAGTGGCGTAGCTGTAGGGTGGCCAAGGTGGTCCATGGACCACCCTGGAATTCAGCCCATTAATATACTACTAGTCTATCAAAAAAAGAAAGAGAAGAAAGCAAGCCCAACTTAGCCCATGTATACGTGAAGGATTGGCTCGTTAGTCTCCGCGAACGCGTGTGTGCGCTGATTGATCGACACCAGAAGACGTTCCTGATTCCTGTCTCCTCTTGCAGTTCTGGAACCCTAGCAGCGAGCGCCATCTGCCATCGCCGCGCACTCCCACTGCGCATCCACCGGCCGACAGGGCACTCATCGACGTGCCAAACCGGTGGCCGGGCGAAGGACACTTGCCTGCGGCGGCAAACAGGCTGTCGGCGAAGCATTAGGTTGAGCACCACTTGTTCGGTTTTTCATCCTACTACTCCAATCAAAAGTAAGATATTTTGTTCTCCTTATTCATAAATTCAAAGTGTAAATTTCTTTTGCTATGAAGATTTGAACAAGTTAAGCTGAGATCTGAGAGTGCAAGATATAGTTTTACTTTTGGCAATTGATAATTGATAAATAGAAGTATAGAACTGACTTATCTTTAGGGATTTGATCCAGTTGATAGATACTAAATTAATGTTTGTGTAGAATTTTTGCAAAATGAAGAGGACTGGAGACATAGTATCTCTTTTGATTGCGTTATATATATCAGGCGAGATGCTTTCTCCAAAGTGAATGAAGATGATATAATTGATACTTTCATGATGAGAAGGCGTTATCCCGACAAATAAGGTGTGAATCTTCTTTTATGCGAATTTAAGACTTAACCATGAATTTTATTATTGTGATGAAGACCTTATTGATATATTCTGTATGCATATGCTGGTTTAGTTGAATTTGTGGAGCAATTTTTTTTTCCTGTCAATTGGACCACCCTGAGATAAAATCCTAGCTACGCCACTGTTGTGTGGATACTTATAATGTCCAAATCTTACGGAGCACTGCATGTGTTTAATTGTCAAGTCAAAATGACGAATAAATAAAATAATTAAAGACAGGGAAGGAGAGGAATACGCGGCCGTTCAAAACACCGTGTGAGAAAATGACGACTGTGCTTCAGACCACACCCGTCAATCATCAAAGAAGAAAAAGATGACCGCATGTACTAGAGACAAAAATTGTGGCCCGGGCTGGAGGAATACCACGTAGATCGAGACGGATCTCGTTTTCAGAGTTGCTACCTATTGCTCGCTCCATAACATTTTTCAAAGTCTCCGTCGAACCAGCTAACTTAACCTACCGGATATATAGTCAGGTTTTGACTTTCGTGCAAAACAAAACAAAAACTGCAATGACGAGTTCAGGAACGAAGACGCGGAGGAGAAAGGGTGGACCTCGTCCGAGTAGTTAAGTTCATAAGACGCGGAACGTTGGTAATTTACTAGAGTATCATGAAAAAAAAGTGGTTTAACTCATGGTTTTACCCCTAATTTAAGTGTCAATTCAAGTTTTGGTGCTTGGTTTTTATTAGCCAAAAAAAACCTGGATTATATTGAAGATTCATCCATAGTACAAAGGACACGAGCAGTAATAAAATCACAACTACGTCCTCAGACCACACTCAGACCACACGAGGGTAATTCTGCATATTGGCTAAGGACAAGTTTCAAGGATGATGACGTGTATATAAGGCTCAGAGGAGTCTCATGGATCATGCAAACACATGGCGTGAAACAATGCAGAGGTGCAGATGAACAAAACGCAAGGTGGAGCATGGTTGCAGTCAAATAATTTTGGTTGGGTCGGACTGGACAGTCTGATGGATTGACATGAATGTTGGTCAAAGCAGAAGATGGCCGTGATTTCAGCGACGACGACATAGGAGCGTGATGCTGATGGTGACTGACTTTTGGGGCGTGGATGTTGGGGAACGCAGTAATTTCAAAAAAATCCTACGATCACGCAAGATCTATCTAGGTGATGCATAGCAACGAGAGGGGAGAGTGTGTCCTCGTACCCTCGTAGACCGAAAGCGGAAGCGTTATGACAACGCGGTTGATGTAGTTGTACGTCTTCACGATCCGACCGATCTTAGCACCGAACGTACGGCACCTTCGCGTTCAGCACACGTTCAGCTCGGGGACGTCCCTCGTAC